ACACACCTGTATTAAAAACTTATAGATAAATGTATATAGCAGTGTTATTCATAATAGCCAAAAAGTAGAAAAAACCAAATGCTCATGAACTGCCGAATGGGTACAGAACATTGTATATCCATATAGTGGAATATTATTCAGCAATAAAAAAGGAATGCAGGACTGATACCTACTACAGTAAGAATGAACCTTGAAAATATTATGCTAATTGAAAAAAGTCAGTCACAGAGGAAAACGTATCATGAGACTTTATTTACATGAAGTATCTAGAATAGGCAAATCCACAGAGAGATAAAGTAGGAAGGACAAGAATGAGCCGATGCAGGTGACAGCACAAGGGTATGGATTTCTTGTTTGGGCAATGAATGTTCTAGGGTTAGACAGTGGTGAAGGAGCACAGCTCTGTGAATGGGTAAATGCCATGTTGAAGGTGAATGTTTTGGTATGTGAATTATCTCAGTAAAGCTGTCACCAAAAAAATAAATAAATAAAAAGCAGAGTATATTTTATGCCTGTGCAGATAAGAATACCTCCATCCTTACTTTGACCAGTGTGGCTCAGTTGGTTGGGTGTCATCCTGCAAAGCAAAAGAAAGGTGACCAGTTCGATTCCCTGTCAGGCACATGCCTGGGTTACAGGTTTGGTCCCTGGTCAGGGTATGTGCAGGAGGCAGCCCACTGATGCTTCCCTCTTTCTATCTCCTTTCCTCTCTCTCTCTCTCAAAAAAAGATAGATAAAGAATCCCCCCATTCAGAGGGATGAGAATTTTCACGAGACTTCATAAAAGAAGGAAAACTCTTTTTCTGTCTTCTTCCTAGAAGTTTATAAACAATATAAAAGGTTTTATTCTGATGGGAAAATTATTTTTGTATAGTGAGGGGCTAGAAGAAGATGCGCTTCACTGAGCAAGTGCTAAGAAGAACATGTACATTCAGTCAGGGACAGATCTATGTACCCCTGCTACTCACTCAAATACCATAGCACCATAGCCTGGGCCTGCAGTGTCTAGCCAGCGGACCACCCAGATCACAGAGCTAAGAAAGCATCTGCCACTGAGAGGGTCTCATTAGGTGTTGGTTGCTGTCTCTGGGAGCAACAGCATCTCTGGTCTTACGAGTTACTTAGGGCAGTGGTTTATTAAACTAGAGCTGCACCAGACTCGCGTGGAGGGCTGGTAAGAGTACAGAGTGCTGGGCCCCATTCCGAGAGTTCCTGCAAAGTAGGTCCTGGGCTGGAGTTTGATCGTTTGCACTTCTAGCTAGTTTCCAGGTGCCCCTGATTCCCCTGTTCCAGTAGGGTGACCACCATCTGGGTTTGCCCGGGACTTGGGGAGATTCCCAGGACCTGGGAACTTTCAGAGTTAAAACCAGTAAAGTCCCAGGAAAATTTGTTAACATACTAAGTCCATGGACCACACTTTTGAGAACCACTGTTTAAGGAGATAAGATCAATATTAAATTTGAAAGGTGAGAGGAAGAAGAATACAGAATGAGCCACAAGTTCCTGGCCTAAGCACAGAGGTCCATGGTAATACCAGTGGGTCCTAAACTTTGCTGCATATTGGAATCACCTGGAATCTTTAAAATGCACTGTGAGGACCTCATCTCCAAGTGTTCTGGTTTAATGGGTGTGGAATGTATCTGGGCGGCAGGGTATTTAAATCTCCCCAGGTGATTCTAATGTGCAGCAAAGTTTGGAGAACATTGGCTTATGCCTTTCTCTTAGAATGGACTCCAGGAGAACAGGCATATGAAGCAAATTAATGAGCTTTAGGTGTCTGAGCCATCAATGGTTTTGATCCCTGGCCACATATTAGAATTCTTTGGCCCTGGCTGGTGTGGCTCAGTGGGTTGAGTGCTGGCCTGTGAACTGAAAGATTTCTGGTTCGATTCCTGGTCAGGGCACGTGCCTGGGTTGTGGACCGAGTCCCCAGTTCAGGGTGTGTAAGAGGCAACCAACTGATTGTTGTTTCCTCACACATCAATGTTTCTCTCCCGCTCTTTCTTCCTCCCTTCCCCTCTCTCTAAAAACTAAATAAAAATTTTTTAAATAAAAGAGTATTCTGGGGAGCATCTTAAACACATTACGCCTGGGTCCCATCCCCAGCAATTCTGATTGAATTGACCTGGGTTTGGTTTGAGCATAGGTAGTTGAAAAATCTTCCAGAGATTTTTTTAAAGGGAAGGAATGAAGCATGCAGGCAGGAGTTCTGAATCCAGGACAACGTCAGGATTTGGGATTTCATGCTGTCAAAAGTGTAGCTGGGTTATTGACCGAAGCCACATGCTCTGGCTGAGGAGAAGGCAACAAAAATGCACCCCCTAGAAAACGTGCTGAGGTTCAGGTGGCCCGCACAGAGTGGAACTTCCAAAGACTCCGTCTGGACCCTCCTATAGGTCTTCACAAGATTTGGTATGAGGTAATTAGTCCAAAACTACAGATTTTTACAACACACAGAGTTCATTTTCAGATGGAGATGCTTCCGGAGGGACTGCTTCTCAGTCATTTTCTTACGACATTGGACATCCCAAATGATTCCCAGGCTATGTAAAGAGCCTAGATCGCAGAATGGGAAATTTGCCTAAAATCAGGCATTTCAAAACACTTTCTAAAGGACTTCATAAGAAAGCTGGCATTTGAGTTTAGGAGGGTGGTATTCAAGGCAAAGAAGGCTTCAGAAAGCAGGAAGGCGTGTCCGAGTGCTGCAATACAGGGAAGGGGAGATTAGAGGGATAAAGACGTGGGAGTCACAGGGTAAACCATTTATTAGGACAAGCCCTGAAGGCCAGAATGTCAAAAATAATTCTCATCTGTAAATACATGAAAAATATTTTTATACTCACTACTATTGAAATAAATACTTTAAAATAATGATGAGGTACAGTTTTTTGCTTCCTCAATTGATAAAGCTTTAAAAATTTATAATACTCAATATTGCTAAGGGCTCAGGGCTACAGTTGTTCCCATAGACTATTGATGAGAATGTAAATTGGGACAAACTTTCTTATTGGCAGTTTGACATCAAAAGCTTTAAACACACACATGTATAATGTGTACACATGTGTACATGCATATGTATGTGTGCTCTTTATACATACATGTATATGTTTGTATGCACATGTGCATGCTCTTTGATTCATTAGTTCTACTCCATTCAATATATGCTGAGGAATAATTAAGGATATAAACAAAAATTTAGCTACATATTTATAACAGGAAAATATTAGAAACATGGTACACATCAACTGATAGGGTATTTGTTGAGTAAATTTTGGTTCCTGCATTTAGAGGAATATTATCCAGTAATTTAAAATATTGTTACAGAAGAGCATTTTACTTCATCTCTTCCCAAACCACTGAGGTGCACATACACTTCCATCTATATCAGGGCTCTCACAACAGCGACTTCGGAAGCCCTCTATCCAGAGGGTCTTAGCTGAATCTACAAAGCAGGGCACAGGTTTGGTCTGTGGAAGCCCTCAGAGGATCCTGATGCCCCTCCTTAGGTTAAAATTGCTAAAGTGAAAATATATTGCTGGTACTCTGGCCAGTGTGGCTTAGTTGTTTGGATTGTTGATCTATAAACCAAAGGCCTAGGCTGAGGGTTTGGTCCACAGTCAGGGTGCATATGGGAGGCAACCAATCTATGTTTCACTCCCTCTCTCTCTCCTTCCCCTCTCTCTAAAATTAGTAAGCGTGTCCTCAGGTGAGGATAAATATATATAAATAAATATATATTTAATATAATATATATTTAATGTTATTTATATATATATTATATATATATATATTAGTCTGTCTGGAAAAAGTGCAACCATTGTTAATACAACGAGAACAGTCTGTGCTACATCGATGTAGCCTGGCAGCCAAGGAGAGTGGACTGGAATGCACATGTGTGAACAATGATGACTTCACTGTACTAGTCAGTGGGAGAGGTAGACGCCATTGAGTGAACATGTGTACTGTGTGGCCATCACATTCAAAATGACTGAGCAAGTAAAGCAATGAATCTGCATCAAATTTTGCATTAAGCTTTAACATTCCTCCGCGGAAACTATTTGGATGATTCAGAAGGCTGCAGCGATGGGCAACTGGTGATAGAGAGCTTTATCACAACAACACACCCACTCATGCAGCACATCTCCGGCAGAGTTGTTTGGCGAAACATCAAATCACCCAGGTGACTCAGCCACCCTACAGCCCAGATTGGCACCCTGGGACTTCTGGCTTTTCCCAAAACTAAAATCACCTTTGAAAGGGAAGAGATTTCAAACTGTCAGTGAGATTCAGGAAAATACAATGGGGCAGCTGATGGCAATTGGGAGAACTGTGTGAGATCCCAAGGTGCCTACTTTGAAGGGGCCTGTGGGGTCATTGACCTATGTACAATGGTTCTTATATCTTCTGTAATAAATGTCTCTATTTTTCATATTACATGGCTGGATACCTTCTGGAAAGACTATACATATTCACAAATACATATATATCTGGAACAAAAAGATGTTTGGGATATACTGATGTGGTATCATTTTTGGAAAATATTTACATGCAAGGAAGAGAGTATGGGAGAACCTATACCAAGATATTAACCACTTTTCTCTAAGTGGTAGTACTGTGAATAATAATCCCTTTATTTTGCCCATCTGATTTTTCTGTTTTCAATAATAGGTACATATTAATTGTATAATTTAATTTTTTCTAAAAAATAAAATGAGAAAAATAGGTTAAAATAAAAATATGCAAATAATATTTGTTTCATATTATTTTCCACAAGTAATTGTATTTTGTGATCTCAAAATAGAAAAAAAATTTGTAAAAATGTATATACTTTTATTTTTTAAGGAATTGAGCACTATAAGTATTTTGTGTCCCTAAAGGGCAAGAACTAGCAAATTTTCAAATAATTGACAATTAATGCAATTACTGAGTTTATCAGTGACTGATTTAGCCTCTTTTTTTTAACCTAGCAGAATTGAATTTAATCATTTCCTGACAAAATAATGCAATTTCAACTGACCTTTCTTTTGCACCTTGGTGAGTATTTGTCAAAATCAATTTTCTGCTTATACTAAATTGTTCTAAAATATTTAGTAGAAATAGTTTCTAAACATATTCACCTCTTTTTTTCTATACTCCTACATATTTCCGTGGCTACTCTGTTGCATAGTTGTGTCAAGCAACTAAAAAACTTCACTCAGATATGTTTGGTACTCACACATAGCTATTTCTATCACTCTTTAAAGGAATATTATCCTCAACGGGTAAGTATATTAGTAAAGTAATATACTAATGAGAGAAAAATACTTTCAGATTCATTATTTACAAATATAATGCATTTCAATTTTTAGAAATAGTTCTACTTTGAATGTAGCATTTGTCCCAGTGATGTGATCTCATGAAGAATTTATAGGCAAAATTCCCTGTGCTAAGTGAGCACCAGCTCTGGGCTAATGGGCCAAATGCTCCATGCCTCTTCTGTTTTTAATAAGCTGAGAATAATTTACATTAGTCATAGAAAAGATGTTTCCAACAATCACTCTTTGATCCTGAATTTTCTATAACAGACCTGCTTTTGATTACAAAGTACTAACTAAATTGCTTAGACTCTTCTTTTCAAAAATTCATGCTGAATTTTTTCATGGTAGCAAACTTTAAGAATCCCGTCTTTTAATTTTGCACTTTTTAAACCCTGAGGCAATTGCCCAATTAGATTTGCTGGTAATGGAAGGAAAGAACAGCTCTAGAAGGGAAATGCTCACTTGTTCTCTGTTGAAAATTCCCTGTCTCAGAAAGGTGACTCACAAGCCAGTGGGAACAAAGATGTTTAATCTACATCTGGCTTGGATGTTCTGTTTGGAACTAAACCAACATTCAAAATTAGAAGCAACCACTGAGGATGACTGCGCCTTCTCCCAGCCTCGATGGAGAATAACTTACACCTTGCTCAGAAAGTCTTCCTCGAAGAGATCCCTCTTCTGAAGGAAAGGTCTTCAACAGCGATTTAGCCTGGGCAGAAAAGGCCTGGCTGCAATACATCCAGGATTTCTAAACCTAAGGGACCCCGATATAACCCAAATCCCTATGGCTGCCTATAGTCAAACTACAAACCAGGTTAACTCTCCATCATCAGCTTGGGCATTTTCTGTTTTTTTCAACCATAGGCATTTCTATAAATGCTAGCGCCTATTAAACACTGTGCCTTGCATTCTGACTCAGGAAAATGAGGAGAAACTACCATAAAACATGCATTAGTGCAAGGTTTGGAGAACAGGATGCAAATACAAACCTTATCAAATGCACCTTGTTTGTACTTTTTCTTACCCATAATAAATAATGTGTATGAGTACATAAATGTGTGTTCACAGCCTCTAAAACTGTGAAGTGCTCTCGAAAGTATAGGAAAATGTCTCACATGTTTCAGAAAATTATAACAACATACAAAATTACTGAGAGATTATATAATAAAAGTTTTTTCTACAAAATGATCCTTTATGGAAAATTTGCTGTGCATTTTCTTCAAATGGCCAGATCTCCCACATTCATTCTTAATAAGATTCTATCTTTAAGTTGTATGTCATTTTTGAGGAATACGTTGATTTTCTAAAGGCATAAATATCTTTATCTTTCCTCTTTACTGAATTAGTTCTGACCTATTGCTAATGTAATAATCTGGCAGCTGAAGCCTTTAGCCCAGGAAGGATATTGCTCAGTTTATGTTCAGGCATGCAGCCTTAATTACTTACGTTTCTAGCCACCTTTTGCCAAGTATTTTAGACTGTAAGTTCATTTTTGCTCTTAGAATATTACACAAATAATAGTTAAATTTCCCTAAGTCCTGGAATACTTTTATATCTAAAAAATACAGATCTGTTTAAAACAAGTTTGGCCAAGTTGGGTTATAAAAGCAGGTTAAATCTCTTAGGCAACAATTTCAATAAAAGAATGCAGGATGGAACTTGTCTAAAGGCATAAATCCCTGGAAGAGAAGTTTAAGTTCATCCACACATAGCATAAGCAGAAATTTTATACCTGACCTTGTTTCAAAAAGCCACTCTCTATTGAAATCCAAAATTCTGATTAGTCATTTGTTCTAGGTGCCAATTCTAGGAAATAAGAGGAGATCAGCATTTAAATTGTTGGGCAAATAAAAGGAAAATTCATCTTAACCAATCTAAGACCATTTATTATACAATGAAATAAAAAAACGTGTGACAGAACTGAGTGTTTTCACATATCTATCTCAAATAAAGAGAAAGAAATGTTGTTCCTTTTTTAGAATAATAATCTTCGCAATGAGATCGAAGATAGAAAATTCACTGTTCACACTGACATTTGGTAAACTGTGGGGAAGTAGACATTATGTATCATATTCTTAGTGGTAGAACTATGATCTATGTATGTTTACAGGCTGATGATAATAATAATAATAATCACAAAATAACCAAGTTATAAGAACAGTGGGAAATGTATGAATAAGAGAAGAACAGTATTTTTAAAAAGCTTATATTTGGGTGAGGACAAGTTGAAGGAAATTCATTAGATATAGGACAAGTACATAACAAATTTTTTATTTTTATAATGAGAAAACTGAGAAGAAACCAGGCTTAGTTCATAGTATGGCAATTACTTTTCATTTAACGCCAATCCTCTCACTCTTGCCTGTTGAAATCAGGTCTTGGAATAAAATGTCTGAAGGGAAAAGTATGAAAAAACAGCTGGAAGAGGTCATGTGTGTGTTATTTTAGAATGTAGGTTTACTTGATTCACCATCCAGAGGCTGATGGGCTGGCTGATTTTGAGGGAAGAGAGGATTATCTGGGTGTTTTGCTTTCATTTTGAGGTAATTGCAGGTTCTTGTGCAGGTGCAAGAAATAATAGAGATACCCCATATACCTTTCACCCAGTTTTTCCTGATGGTAACATCTTGCATAACTAGAGTACAATATCACAACCAGGAAATTAACATAGATATAGTCCATTGACCTTATTCAGATTTCACTAGTTCTATGTGCATGCATCTGTGTGTATTTATTAATTCTACACAATTTTATTCACATGACCATCGCCACAGCTAAGATACAGAACAGTTCCATCACCTCAAGGATCCCCAGTATTACCCCTTCATATCCACCCACCTCCTTCTTTCCCTGCCTCCCAAACCACCTAACAATCTGTTCTCCATCTCTACAGTTTTGTCATTCAAGAAATGGAATTACACAGTATATAACCTTTTTAAAAGATTTCATTTATATTTTCTTAGCACAAGGAGAAGGGAGGGAGAAAGGGAGTGAAACATCAATGTGAGAGAGAAACATCAATGTGAGAGAGAAACATTGATCGGTTGCCTCTCCTAAGTGCCCTGAGTGGGGACCAAACTGGCAACCCAGGCATGTGTCCTGATGGGAATCAAACCGGCAACTTTTGGCTTTGTGGGATGATGCTCCATCCAACTTAGCCACCCTGTTCTTCAGGGCGAGTATATAACCTTTTGAGATTGGTCTTTTTCACTCAGCATAACTCCTTTGAGATTTATCCACATTGTTCCCATGTTTCAAGATTCACTCATTTTTATTGCTAAGTACTATTCCATGATATGTATGTACCACACTTTGCTTAACCATTCACCCATTGAAGGAAATCTGGCTTGTTTCCAGCTTTTGACTATTATAAATGAAGATGCTATGGACATGTGTATATAGGTTTTTGTGTAAATATAAATTTTCATATCTCTAGGATAAAAGTTAAGAGTGCAATTGCTGGATTGTACATGCTTCTAAAAAACTACCATGTTTTCCCCCAGCCATTTTACATTCCCACCAGCAGCCCATGAATGATCCAGTTCCTCTACATCCTCTCCAGCATCTAGTGTTACTGCTATTTTTTTTAACCATTCTCATAGGTATGCAGTGCTATCTTATTGCAACCTTGATTTGCATTTCCTAAGGCTAATGATGTTGCACATGTTTTCAGGGCCTTATTTGCCATCTGTGTATCTTCTTCAGTGCAATGTCTATTCATGCCACTTGCCATGTTATAGTTGGGTTAGTTTTTTAATGCTGAAATTTGAGAGCACTTTATATTCTTCAAGACATTTGTCAGGTATGTTATTTGCAATTATATTCTCCCAGCTTGCCTTTTTACTTCATCATAAAGTTTCTAATTTTGATGAGGTCCAATTTATCAATTTTTCTTTTTATGGAACATGTTCTTGTCATCAGTTCTAAAAAGTCTTTGCCCAGCCCTAAGTCCTAAAGATTTTCTCCTACATGCTATAGGAGTTTTATACCTTTATACTTATATATTTTACATTTAAATCCATGATTCATTTTGTGTTAGTATTTGTATAAGTCGTGAAGTTTTGGTGACAGTTCAGTTTTTGCCTATGGATGGTCAATGGCTCCAGCACTATTTATTGAAAAGGTTATCCTTCTTCTATTCAATTGCCGTTGTACCTCAAAAATCAGTTGGGCATATTTGTGTGGATGTGTTTCTGGATTCTCTGTTCTGTTTCATTACTCTATGGGGCTATCCCTCTACCAGTATTACATTCTCTTGTTTACTGTACATATATAGAAAGCTTTAATATCAAGTAGAGAGATTTTTAAAATTGTTTCAGCTATTCTGGGTCCTGTGTCTTTCAATCTATTTTATTTCTGCAAAATTACTATGTCTATAATTTGAATTTTAATCAGGAGAAAACTAGTGCCTGTATTTTGGCCTGGAGAATCAAACAGAATTCTAACCCTTTAATCAAATTTAAAAAGATACTATACTGTCTTGTTCAAATATACTTTTAAAAGAAGAAAGAGAACTATACTATAAATAGCTATCAATAAAATATTACAGTCAACTCACAGTGTACCTGCATCTAACTTTATCTGTGTATTAACCTTACTTAGCCCCAGTAAGATTCTACTTTGTTTTCTTGAATCTTCCCAACAATAAACAAATCTGTTAATATATTATGGTTACAAAAGTGTAACTTGAACATAATAGAGCAAACCCTGTAGGCAAACCATGCAGGCAAGAAATAGTTCGGATTACCCTACCCATTCCACATTCACATACAGAGATTTAACAATTATCTTAACTCAGGATTTAACATTTTAAAACATATAGAACTTTAAAAATAGTTTTTAAACTGAGATTTAAGAGTATCATCTCAGAGGCTGTACATGAAAAGTAAAGAATTGAAGTGACAATAGAGATAGAGTTGCCCTTGCAATGATTTTATACCTCTTGTGACCATATCCCATCAAGACAGATCTGTCAGACAGCAGGTGTGAGGGGCTAAGTGTGCTACATAGACTGGGACTCCCTGCCTCACTTTATCCCAAAGGGGCATGATTTATTCTATGGCACATGTGAGCCCAACAATTCATGTTATAAATGGATCAATTGAATTTACATATGTTTGGAGAATATTAGGCAGGATTAGGATTCTCCTTCCTTGTGTCTGTGCATTAGTCTTTGTTTTTTGCCTGAAAATGATACACAGAGAATTAATTCCCAGTACAGAGAAGTTGTCTCAGGTGAGGTTACTTAGAGGCAGAGCCTGAGACAGGGATTTGTGGGCATGCGATTTATTGAGGGAGTGCTCTGAGGAGTAAGAGTGAGGAGGGGAAGTGGGGGATGTGGTCCCAGCTGGAGTCAGGCTGTAGCCTCCTCCTGTGGAGAGGTTCTGAGGGCAATTTGCACAGTGGAGTTGATCCTACCCCAAGGCAATGGCCTATGTACTGAACTATGTATTTATTAGTCATTGGCTACAAGCTGACCCAGGTGGAGACGTGAACGCAGATGGTATAACCTCCCAGGTTAAGAAATTTCCATCCAACTAAGGATACTAACAGCATCCAGGACAAGGGTCTCAATGATCAACAAAACTGGTATTAAAAATAAATGGACTGTTAACCTTCCAACTTAACCGGTTACTTCTTTGAGTCTTCAGCTACCTTTGGACTGCTTTCTAAATAACTGTTTCTGTTGTGTTCAAGGGTTGCTTAGTTATGCAAAAGCTGAAGATGAATGCAACAAACGTGCCTGTTATCCCACCACCGGCGATCTCCTGGTGGGACGCAGCTCACAGCTCACGGCTTCTTCCACTTGTGGGCTACATGGAGCCCAGAAATACTGCATCCTCAGCTACCTCGAGGTGCGTCGGTTCTAGGTTTACTTTTTGGAACATTATTTAATCAATGATGTCGATTCTTCCAAGTTCATCTGGGGCTGTTCAGACAACAGTAAAGAAGGAGACAACATTCCTTTTGGGACATCAGGGACACATGAGATACAATTCCAATCCAGGAAGCCTTAACAGATCAGAAAATAGATTTGCTTCATCTATTTCTTGTTATCTTTAGAATTAAACAGAAAAGTTTTTGTTTTTTTTTTGGTTCATCCTTTGAAGAGAATGACTATAAAATATGGCTACCATAGAGCAAAACTAATTGAATTAATCAGTGAAGACAGGATCCATCAGGCCCTCAAGGCCATTATGCTAAACAGTTCTCCCTGTCCTGCCTTAGAGATAGAAGGGTGTAGTACCTGGTATTCACTGCAACCTCATAATGCCACTTAAAAATTGCCTTGGTCTTACCTAAAAACCATAAAATCCCCTTGTGAACATATTTTGGGCCCTACTTTTCCTTGAAGACCAGTGTATTAAAAGGACAAGTTGCTTTAGAGTTTTTTCCTTCCCTGTGCTCTGGGAGCAGATCGAGCATCGAAGGTCATCTGTGCATCATACCTGCTGAAAAGCCTGAAGCAGTCATGTCAACCTTTCAATGAGAGGATGTGCAGGAAGGAAGCTGGACACAAGCCTAACGTTACTGGCCCAGGCTTTTCCATGTATTGTTCATTAAGGCAACTCCTGGAGGTCTGTGGGAAATGCTTTGTATTCTCACTGGTTTCTAGCAAAAGAGGATGATTATAAATAAATGGAGACAATACCTGAATACTTAGCACTGTTCTAAGTTTGGAAAGTAATTGTAAAAGAAAGCAAATTCTCTACATGTACAAGAAAATGCCACTGTGGAAGTTTGCTCAACTCTAGGTCAGACGGGATGGATAGCCCTTCAAGTAACTTTACGAGTCCAGGTCCTGTAGACAAGTGGTTCTCAACTCTAAAGTTAGAAACTTTCCAACCCAGGCATCACCCATCTTATTTGTCAACCACTGGCATTTCCTTACTGTTGTCCTAGCCAACCCATGATATACTCGGACAATAATCAGAAATTCCTGTTCCTATAACTTAATTTCACTCCACCAAAAACAGAAGTAAACCAAACTTCACAGGCTTCTTTTGTCTATAGAATCACAGAAATCTTAAAATCTTAGAGCTGAAAAAAAAATCTCAAAATATCTTCAGGCTGACAAAGTATCACAAGTAGGGCTGCAAGTCCACATAAACATTGTGCAGGATGGAGGGTGGTTTTTCCTCATCTGTTATCTAAGAAACTGCTACCAAGCAAAGCATTCTCTTCAAAAACTTCAAGTCAACATCATCCCACAGTGTCCCACAAGTTGGGACTCCCGCTTAATCACTACAACTAAGCACCCTCTGTAGCCAGTCCCAGCAAAGATTGTGCTTCTGAAATGTTCACAGAAAGAATAGCCCACAAGCCCTGAGTATAAACATTTTCCACCAAAATTTTTATAGTATTATTGGAAATACTTTGAAGTCTTAACATCTTTTGATGTTATCACTGGGCTTCTGCTGCTCTTTTAGGACAGGTCTGAGTCAAACCTCCCCATATACAGATTTGAGCTAGCTTCCATTGTTCCTTAATTTCTTCAGGTAGAAGGTTTACAGTGGCCAGTAATTCTAAAAAGACTTTATAGCCCTAACCAGTGTCACTCAGTCGGTTGGGCATCATCCTGCAAAGCAAAAGGTCTCTGGTTCAATTTCCCATCAGTGCACATGCCAGGGTTGCAGGTTTGGTCCCCAGTAGGAGTATGTATGAGAGGCAACTGATCAATGTTTCTCTCTTACATTGATGTTTCTCTCCCTCTTTTTCCTTCCCTCCCCCATCTCTAAAAATAAATAAATAAAATATTTTTGGAAATAAAAATAAAAAGATTACATGGAGCTCCTGAAAGGCTGATTTGCTTTGATATACGCTAGCTGAAATAATCGTTAAAATCATCATGTTTGCATTCAACAATTTTTATTGATCATCTACTATGGTCCAGACACTGCTCTAGGTAAGGAAAATACAGCCATAAACAAAAGAAAGTCCTTGTCCTCATTTAGCTTGAAGCCTAATGATGCCAATGGGCAGTGATCCAACCACTATATAATATAGTCACAGGGAGTGATAAGGGCTTAGAAAATATTGTCAAGCACGGTAAGGGACAAAAACTGGCAGGGGCCATAAGGGTGGGAGGTGGTAGTATTTTACATAGAAGTCAAGGAAAATTTCTCTGAGATGATGGCATTTAAGCAGAGACCTGAAAGGAGGAGAGGAGCAAGAGATAAGAATATTTGGTGGAGGTTCGAGGGGAACTGAGAACAGCTTGTGTCCAGATTGTAAGTCAGGAGAGTTCTTGGTAAGCTCAAGGAAAAGTGAGTGTAGCTAAGGCTGAGTGAATCAGGGAAAGCCGTCAAGGAGGTAGCCATGATGAAGTCATGTAGGCCCTTGTAAGTCATAGTCAGGACACAAACTCAACGCTCGCTGAAAACCAACTAGTGCATTCATTGCTGTAAGCAGTTCCCAGAACAACGTATGGTAATAAACAGCTCCTGCTTCCTGAAAGGTTTGCAAAAGTGTTCCTCCAGAGTCCCACTCCCACATAGTAGCCTGGAACGACTGAGCAGGCCATGGGCAGTCTTTTGGAAGTCTTTGGAGATTTCCTTAGCAGGCTTTTTGTTGTTGTTGTATTTTATTTTTTAATTTTTTATTATATTTTCTTCCAATACCACGTATCTCCCTTATACTCCCCTCCGTGATCACCACATGGTTGTCCATGCCCCTGAGTCCTTTTTCCTTTTTGCTCAATCCCTCTACCTGCTAACCTCCCTGCCCAATAGCTGTCATCCTGTTCTCTATGTGAGTCTGTCTGTATTTTGCTTGTTAGTTCAGTTTGTTCATTAGATTCCACATATGAGTGAAATCATATGGTGTTTGTCTTTCTCTGACTGGATTATTTCACTTAGCACAATGCTCTCCAAGTCCATCCATGCTGTCTTAAAGGATGAAATTTTCTTCTTTTTTATGGCCGAGTAGTATTCTATTGTGTAAATGTCCCATAGTTGTTTTATCCACTCATCTACTGAGGGACACCTGGGTTGCTTCCATATTTTGGAGATTGTAAATAACACTGTAATGAACATATGGGTGCTTACGTTCTTTCAAATTAGTGTTGTGTTTTTTTGGATATATTCCCAGGAGGGTTATCTCTGGGTCAACAGGCAGATTCATTTTTAATTTTTTGAGGTGTCTCCATACTGCCTTCCACGGTGGAAGCAGTCTGCATTCCTACCAACAGTGCAGAAGAGTCCCCTTTCTCCACATCCTCACCAGCACTTGTTGTTTGTTGATTTATTCATGATAGCTGTTCTGACAGGTGTGAGATGATATCACATCCTGGTTTTAATTTGCATTTGTCTGATGATTAGTGATGTTGAGCATCTTTTCATATATCTATTGGCCATCTGTATGTCCTCTTTGCAGAAGCATCTATTCATGTCCTTTGCCCATTTTTTAAATTGGATTGTTTAATTTTTTTGGTGTTGAGTTTTGTAAGTTTTTTATGAATTTTGAATATTAACCCATTATCAAATATATTGGTGAGTATGTTCTCCCATTCCATGGGTTGTCTTTTAATTGTGCTGATGGTCTTCTTTGCTGTACAAAACCTTTTTAGTTTGATGTAGTCCTATTTGTTTCTTTTGTTTCCCTTGCCTGGGGAGATATATCAGATAAAATGTCGCTATGAAAAATGTCTGAGATTTTGCTGCCTATATTTTCTTCTAGGATTTTTATGGCTTTGGGTCTAATATTTAAGTCCTTAATCCATTTTCAATTTATTCCTGTGTGTGGTGTAAGAAAGTGGTCCAGTTTCATTTTTCTGCACTTATCTACCCAGTTTTCCCAACACCATTTGTTGAATAACCTATCTTTAGCCTATTGTATGTGTTTGCTTCCTCTCTCAAATATTAATTGACTAAAAAGGTGTGGGTTTATTTCTGGAATGTGTTTTAAATAAGTACAGCTACTAGCAGACATATTCAATTAAGCATACTTCAAGGCCTATTTGGCTGCTAACAACATTTTAAAATCCATCTCATGCAAAACTAGTTCCAATTCATTAATAAACCTAGTCTGCAATACAAGAGAGTGGGGCTCTCTGTTGTGAGTTTATGAAAATCTTTTACAAAATCCATATGTGTGAAATAAACGTTTTGGAATTGGAAGCTTTTCTGCCAAAAGTATGCCTGAGAAAGAAAAGATGATGGTTGCAGATAACCTAGTGGTCCATTATTTCATTAGTTTCATGCCAAATATTCTCTTTTTTTTTTGCCTAAGGGAAATAATTCCACTCAAAATTATATTCTATTTATTTCTCTATAGTTGAAAATAATCTCCAGATTATCTGGATCTTGTATGAAAAAAGAATTAGTTCCACATATATTTGCATTTTTGCTCCAAGTATATAAATTTATAAAAATTCTATGTGATATTTTAATTTCATTTGTTATTGTATTTAAGCATCTCTTGATGGAAAAATTGATGTCTTGTTATTTCCTCTGCTTTTTATTCTTAGCCAGACTGAATGACAAATATAGTAAGTACAGTTTGTTTTTAAATTCAGATCAACAATAAGTAATTACAGTTCTTTATTTTAAATGTTAATGATGGTGTTTTCCAGAGGGAACAAAAATGCTTCATTTGTGACTCCAGGTTTCCATACGATCCACACAACCAGCCCAATAGCCACCCCATTGAGAATGTGATTACAAATTTTGAACCAGATAGAGAAAAGAAGTGGTGGCAATCTGAAAACGGTATGATTAAGTTCCAACGATTAAGTTTCCAATGTTTTCTTTCTTCATACTTTCAATGAGGTGTCTTTCTGTGTGATTTTAACAATGTGAGAGCAAGGAATTATATTGGAATGAAACAGCATTTACCAAAATGCAAAACCCTGTATAAGAACAAATCTCCTTTTCACTTTAAGAAAGGTTATTTTTTTCTAGAGAAATAGAATTGTATTTTATGCACATAACTCAGAACGTTTCACTCTTTCCATGCTAGAGAAGAAAATATCTCTGCATCCTTTTGTTTTTTGTAAATAATAATAATAATAATAAGGGAGTTTATGAGGTGTTGATAAATAAAGCCCAACATAAAACACACTGATAAGTGGAATTAATAACACCAGGGGAAGTCTGAGAGTTCATACCATGTGCTTTTTCCTTCAACATAAGAAGGAAGAGAGATAAAGGACATGCTGTTTCTTACTGCAAGCCAAAGATGTTGATATGAAAATTGAATTGAAAGAATAGTTGGCTACTGACTGAAGTTCTCTCCTTTCTGGATTTATGGCCTTCTCTGGTCATGAACAACTGCGCTATTGGACTTCACACTGGTATTTCCTAGATGCCCACTCTAACTCTGAGCCTGACCAGGGGTTCCTTATGTCCCACTCAGCTCTGGGCCTTAAGCACTTAAATTCATGTGGACTGGCTCACTCAGGATGGCCCCTCTTCCAGGCTTCTCTGGAACCCTGAACCGCACCTCCCCAGCCCCCACCCCCACCAAAAGAGTCCATTTGCCACATCTGGATATGTTGCACTTGGGGCTATAATCCCTCTATTTTCTTCAGAAGTAAACAGATTTCCCTGAGGGGATCCTAGCCCATTAGAGGGAAGTGTGAGAATAATCACACAGGATTGCTAGGGCAAACATAGCGTGAGGCTATTTTTCCATCATCCATTGGGCAAGTACATGATTGGTGTCTACTAAATGCCGGCTCATTTTGGATCCTCATTATTGACTCTAGCTGGTCTCTCCCTAATGAATGTGAGGTATTTTTTACCACAAACATCTGTCTTCACTGGTAAATGGTGCCATTTTTGCTGTATAGCTGTTTTGACCTACATGTCCAGCGTTTGCCCCACATCTCACAGAGGGAACGCCATCCATCAAAGCTGATTACATGGAAAAGGGTTCTCAACCAAGAATTTTAGAGAGGGGAAAGCGGATCTCTTTTCAAGAAAGAGTTAGGAGCCCTTGACAGGGTCTGGAATGTGGCTGCCCTCTGTGCGGCAAACCCATCCCCGAGCCAGTCACCCTGGAAGGACAGCTGCACCCCAGGGCACTGCAGTCCAGCCACGGTTCTGCAAGCTTCCCTGTCCAGTGCCATAGCCCTGAGCTGCACGTGGCTACTGAGCGCTTACAGCATGGCTCATTCCAGTTGGGGTGTGCTGCAAGTATAAAAACACCCCAGATTTCTGACACTTAGTTTGGGGGGAAATGTATAATAAAACATTACTAATTTTAAAAATGTTGATTATACTCAGAAATGAGAATATTTTTTATTTATTTTCTTAAATATATTAAAAACAATTTCACCTGCTTCTTTTTACTTGTATAACTATGGCTGCCAGAAAATTTTAAATGGCACATGTGACTCCTATTTCTATTGGACAGTACACTTCAGAGAGATCGGGGTTTCCGTGGTGTCCAGACTGGGGCCAGTCCTCCACGTCCACACTGAAGATGAGGGCAGCTAATTACCTCAGTGCGAAGCCCCGGCCAGGACACATCCACCTCCTCCTCATGCATGGAGGGGCCCAGAGATCCTCACTCCGGGGGAATTTCCAAGCTGTGTTTTATGCTACATAACAATAAAACTAGTTCAAATGATGGTTAGCAGCTGTTGGAAGCACAGGACATGTCGATTTACCATGCTCTAGCTTGCTAGCTCACATTTGTGTGTAGTCTTGTGTGTAGTCAAGATTTGAATTCAAGGAAATGAGCCCTCTTGTTTCACCTATGGGACATGCTCTTGGCCATATGTAATACTGCCACACTGTGGCCATAAGCATTGCCACCAAAACAAGGATGTGAGCACAGTCCGGGCAAACACTATATTGCTCTCCCAGAGATCTTCTCTTGGGCGTGGAATGGCATGGGAAACCACTGCAGCAGACTAGGAAAGAGTGTTGGTCAGCAGCCATGTGATTTCAAAGGGTTTTAATATAAATAAACCACAGCAATAGATTAGCATCATAAACAGGGATCTCTCAAAATCACTGACTTTCTTCTTTCTGGATTTTTCTTTAGGTCTTGATCATGTCAGCATCAGATTGGACCTAGAGGCATTATTTCAGTTCAGCCACCTTATTCTAACCTTTAAGGTACGGATACGTAGGCTTGCTGCCCCTTTTATCTACTCACCAAAGGCTGGGCCTACCTGAAATTTTACTTCCTTGCTTCCTTGCAGAGAACAAAAAGCTGTGTGCATCCAGACTCATGCTTTGTCATCTGGGTGTTTGTTCTCGAGCAGAAACACAATACTACTGTTCATTAATTAATAACTTATATGGTCAACAAGAACAAAAAAGTCTAAGACTCTGTAGCAAAAAGGAATTGACTGTGGGAAGGGGAAAAATAGAGATAACTGTAATAGAATAACATGATTTAAAAGTAAAAAATTAAATTGAAAAAAGGAAATCATGAAGCAGTGGAGGATAGAGATCACAGGAACGAAAAAGATAGCTTTGAGGGGAAGAGGGCAGGAACTGAAAATTATTTAGGGAAATATGGAAAGGCCGTGATCAAAAAAGGAAGAAAAATTAAAGGGTCTTTGCTAAGGTTAGAGAGATGCCAGAGAAAATCCTGTGCTGTAGTCATTTTCTAATCATTCATCAAAATTCTAATTATGCTGTCAGGTCTCGTGCTAAGTTGTGGTAATAAAACAAAATGAATATAAAATGAAAAGTTATAAAAATAGAAAAAATGTTAGCCTTTGTCCTCAATGAGTTCACAATCTAGTCATGGATACAAACACATATATAAATCAAAAATTATGATACAGGGCTATGAGTGCCCAGACACACGGCAAGAACGGTGGGGAGTTCCTTGACAAGGCTCAGTCTGCTCTGGGGAATCCAGGTAAACTTCATGGCAGATTTTCAAGGCTGTATAAGAGTTTACCAGAGGAAAAGCATTCTAGGCCAAGAAAACTGCATGCAAATTACTGTAAAATATCAATTACATTAGCTTTTTAAAAATTAATATGCCATCTTCCTTCAATTATTAAATTACATAGCCATAAACATTTTAAAATGGAATTAGATTACAGGGCAAAATATATGCTCATAAACACCTTCCCACTTTTGGGAAGAGACTTTGGTATATTCTTTGTATAGTGATTTTAAAGGATACAAATACATTTTGAAAATATAAAGTTAGAAAATGTAAATATTCAGTCTGAAGTGGGTAATAAAATCTTCCTTTGTGAAGCATCACAAGTTAACTCATTTTTCCGCAGACTTTTCGGCCTGCCGCAATGTTAGTTGAACGTTCCACAGACTATGGACACACCTGGAAAGCATTTAAATATTTTGCAAAAGATTGTACAACTTCCTTTCCCAACATCACATCCGGCCAGGCACAGGGAGTGGGAGACCTTGTGTGTGACTCTAGATATTCGGATATTGAACCCTCCACTGGTGGTGAGGTAGTGTTTCCTTTCTTGGATTTCTTTGATGTAAAATAAACTTTATTTTTAATGTGGTTGATTTAGGTGAAAATAACTTAAGTAGTGTTTGCTGAAGTAGAACTTGAGTGGTTGGTTTTTAAAAATAAGAGAGTTTAAAGTGAAATGAGTCCTGAATTAATCTCAAATCCAGATAAATGATAAATACCTTTTAAGAAACAATCCTGCACGGAGAGACCAGCTAAAGGTGAGCAGGGGCCAAAGGCCAGGCTGGGCACCGGGGCCTAGGGAAGCCAGGGGAAGAGCATGTGTTTCTAACGCTTGCAAGGGAGCACACAGGCTAGTGCGCACTGGGTTAGTTGTCTCATCTCCTTTCCCTATAAACCAACATCCCCTGCGCAAAACTGGTAACTGGTAGAGGGTCCAAGTAGGAGTGGGGTTGGCAGGCATTACCTACCAGGCCTAGGAGAAGGGATTGGGGCAGACAGCAGCTGCAGAATTCCCTGCCAGATCCAAGCTGATGAGGACTCGCTGAACTGTGGCCCCATAACTCCACCGCAGCCCAGAGCAGGAGCCCTTTTTACCTCTGGGGTCACAACTTCTGCCTTCATGGACTACTCGTGCATAAAGAACCAACATGACTGTTTATGGCTTTCATTTTCCTTCTTGGTACTTTTATTCATATGAGAACCCAATGATAATCTGTGTCCTATGCTAGCTGGGAAGCATGAGCTCAGCCTTCTTGTAAGATCAGGATCTCTTCTTTAAGAGTATACTGTTTAACAATAACATTTTGGGGTAAAATACTTTAAATTTACCTACAATTTGTTTTACAGGTTGTTTTAAAAGTTTTGGATCCCAGCTTTGAAATAGAAAACCCGTATAGCCCCTACATCCAGGGTATGAATCACTTTATATTTTTCACATTAATTTCTTTTCTAAAATCTCATGTTAGGCATACTCCTTGTCATTAGTACATTAAGAGGATGTCAGTCAAGAAGGGCACCTTGAAGCAACACAACCTAAATGCACTTTGATTCATCGCTTTTATTATTTTCCTTTCTCTAGACCTTGTTACAATAACAAACCTGAGGATAAACTTCACCAAACTGCACACCCTTGGGGATGCTTTGCTTGGAAGGAGACATAATGATTCCCTTGATAAATACTACTACGCCTTGTATGAGATGGTGGTTCGGGGCAGCTGTTTTTGCAATGGCCATGCTAGTGAATGCGGCCCGAAGCAGATGGTGCGGGGAGATGTGTTCAGCCCTCCTGGAATGGTGAGTGGCTTATCTAGAAGAGCAGTCGGCTCTCCTACCTTCCCGTCACTATCCTGGTGCTCAATGTAGATCGACTTTTCATGTGGGGATCAACAATGTGCCAGTCTTGTGTTGGGGCAGGTATGATTCAATCTGGCCCGACGGACCATCTCTGGGCCTTCAGTTCTCTCTCCAGAGAGTCTTGTGGATCCTGCCACGTATGCGCATTACTGAACTCATGATCAGAATTTATAACTCGTGATTTTAAGACAGCCCATCTTGCTCTGTTATTTGTTTTTTAGGGAATGGAGATTTGATAGGGAGGACCCATAATTTCACATGCATTTTCTCACAAAGATTTATTGAAGGTTTGTTGTACTCAACACCACAGCGTGTGAATAATACCTGATATTGTGAAGATGGTCACTCCAAGTAACCATCTTAACTATGAATGACTGTCTTCATAGTCCAAATCTCTTCCATTCTTGGGACCAGTCTTAAAGAGTGATGTGGTAGAAGAATTGTATTTTGATGCAGAGTCCTGGGGGTGTGTCTACTAAATAATTTTAAACTATCAGTCATAGTCAGGCAAGGTGTGATATCAGGGTTATTGCACCTTCTTCTTTAGATATCTCCATGTTTCACTGGAAATAGAACTTCTTTTTGAACTTGGACATTTAGGGCATTTTGTGGATAATTACATACCTTTCTCTAATTTCTTTCAGTTTTCTAATTCCCCCTTTTCTCTTATGCTTCTAAACCACCCTGGACACACACACACACGTGTGCGCACGCACACACAAAGCATCTTATCCTTCATTTTGCTGAGGGCTGCAATGTGCTGCCCTGAAACTAGTAGTCAGAAATACCGAAACAATTCTACTGTAAATGTATACTAAACACCTTAAACTTTTAAATTGTAAAAGCTAGTTAAGCAAATAATAATAAATAGTCCAGATTGGTAATGTAACTAACACAGGGGAAACTAAGTCTTGGACCCGCGGCCTGGTATTTCATTTTCCATTTAAAGAACCCCAGCATCCTCAAAGATGAGCCCTCTTTCAACACTGTTTGTTTATCACACAATGCAGGTTCATGGTAGGTGTGTGTGTCAGCACAACACAGACGGCCCAAACTGTGAGCGGTGCAAGGACTTCTTCCAGGACGCTCCTTGGAGGCCAGCTGCAGGCCTGGAGGACAGCTCCTGCAAAGGTGAGTATAAAAGAGTTCTCTGCACAGACCGAGTGTGCCTGTGTTTCCTTATTTCAGAGAACACTTAGTTCATTTGGACCGCTGGCAGCACACCTGTGGCTTCCAGCTCCAGCTGATTGAGGAGCCAATGCCTCCCATTGTCTCACATGGAAGAAGCACCAATGTCTCAAACCTTCACTCCAAAAATTAACATTAATTTGAAAAATGAAACAATATACATGTTGGGTGGCCCCTTTCCAGGGGAAGGACAGAGCCATATGATGATATTGGTGGGGAAGGCAATCCAGGAACTGGGTGAGTGTTAGATTTGGTACAGAAATCCCTACTGTTTTCCTGAATAATCATGCATTCCATGAGTATGACCTTAAACCCCTATATCAGATAATAGGAGAAACGAGGTCTAGGTTCAAGTTTGACAGACTATTGTACTTTTTATAAAATATTTAGGCTAATAACATGGAGAATTTTTATACTGTGTTTGCTGCCTCTAAATTTTGATGCACTTTCAAACAAACTTATTCAGTTTATTTTCCCAGGCTTGAGAAAAATAAGATTTGAGGGAGTAAGAAGTCACTAGAAGAGCCCATTAAAAAGCCTTGTCCGTGAGTCACAGTAGACAAGACCCAGCAAATATTTATGTGGTTTACAGGGAAGAAAAAAAGCCCTACAGCGTAGATAGATATTACCACAAAGACACAAATTCTTCCAGAGAGACTGCCTTCCCTGTATTGCTCTGGCTGCCCCCAAGGTGGGATGAAAATGACCTGCGACCCCTCTTCCAGCTCCCTGCCCACAGGGAGAGGCGGAGTGAGGCTCTGTTTCAGTGAGAATCCCAGTGCCTACAGAACATATAATGTAAACAAATCAAATTTACAAAGTATGTCAGTAAAAGTATTCTTTACTGAATGACAACAAAAATATTGCACCTTAGGGCTTCTAAATTACCCAAATGACTTACTTTTGTTTACTTGATTTTTAAAAATACCTATACGGTAAACCTTTGAGGAACACATTTCATGGAGAGTATATGAACATTATGAATACTAGACAGATCTTCTGAAAGCACCTAATTTACTGTTAGTATACATAGTGTGTCCTTAAAGAGAAGGTGGAGTGGCTGAAGAAAGAGGAAGAGGAGGGGGCGCAGGGATTAGAGGGAGGAATGCCAGCTCGGTCACTCCCAAGAAAGGGGTGAATCCCTCAGAAACTCTCCTTCCCCAGCTTGTAGCTGTAACGGCCACTCGGACCGCTGTCACTTCGATATGACCGTGTACCTGGCCAGCGGCGGTGTCAGCGGGGGTGTGTGTGAAGACTGCCAGCACAACACCGAGGGACAGCACTGCCATCGCTGCAGGCCCCTTTTCTACAGGGACCCCCTCAAGGCCATCTCGGACCCTTACGCGTGCCTTCGTGAGTACCCGAGTCCCCAGTCTCTGGCCTCATCTTTTCCACTGTTCTGAGAAATGCCGAAGGAGCAAGTCTCACTTGGGCTGCCAATCCCCACTCGGCTGAGCAGCATCTCCAAACGGCCCTCTTAGGGGGAGTGGGGGATTGCAAAATCACTTCAACTCTAAGATCGTTTCTTCCTCTGAACTAATTGGGCCAGATAATCTGTCCATCCTGGCAGTCTTGCAGCAGTGGCTTCTCTTGGAAAATCGGGAAACTATTCTAGAATCAACCAGCAGGGGGCGAGTGGCTTCAGAGACGCCGCGCACCTGGAGTTTCTAGGCGGTCAGCTCCAGCAAGTAGCTACTGAAATTACCTACATTTGACTGGCTGTAGAAATTTCAAATTTGTTGTTAAGATGGATTAGCTAACTATTACCTTGTTTATTTTTTCTTTTTTTAACCTTTAAGAATTTCATTTTATCTTTAATATCAACTTTCAAAAATAAGATATTTCAAGCATATATGTACAAAATAACGGAGAATAATACAGTAAACACCCTTATAACTACCAGCAGCTTCGTCATAATTTCTTACCTATCATTTTCAATACTTTAATAAAACACTACAGGTACTAGTGATGTCCTAGGTTTAGCCTGTCGCATTTGTCTACCTTTCTTTCTAGAGATAAACTAATATATTTAGCAGTTATCACCATGCTTATTTTTATAATTTAATCTTATTGTAATTTTTTCCATAGCCATTCAGTTCCCTATACCTCTCTCCCACAGCAATCACCACATCGTTGACCATCCTTATTTTTATACTTCCACACATGTTTTTATTTACAAATGTTATTAAAAAAAATTGGCATATTTTCAAACTTTAGATAAATGATATTATGCTGTATTATCTTTGAGTATTTCATTCAACATTATATTTTTAAGGTTTGTCCTTATTAGGTGGCCCTAGATCTCCAATTTTAATTTCTGTGTGCAATTCCTTCCTTTCTATAAATCTGACAAAATCTATTTGTCAGTTTTGATTTTGATGCTACAATAGCCATGTATGTGGCCTTGTGCACATGCACAAAGACTGTCCCTAAGAGCCATGCTTAGGAGTGAAATTAGTGGGACGTAATAGAAACTTCTTCAAATTGATTAGTGAATTGCGTATTGTCCCTTAGGCAGGTGAGCCAGGTAACAGCCTGACCAACAGTGTACAGGGGTTCCTGTTGCTCTATATCTTAGCCAACACTTGGTTTCATCACACTTTGATTTCTGCTACTCGAATGGGATCTCGCCATTATTTTAACTTGCATTTCCGGAAGCACTCACTCTGAGTCATCTCAGAGTCATGTTAGCATAGGGTTGACACTTGTCACTGGCACTAACCTGGCAGTGAGTGCCTCCTTAAAGTTTGTGTCCGCGGCACCTTGCCTGCCTCTCTCTAGTCTCAGCACTGCTGTCAGTTATTGCACAGAGAAATGCTCTAATCCGGTTTCAAACACCCAGGGTCAGTTACTGGGTTTGAGAACTTGACTTGCAAAGGAACAAATCAGCCTGTTACTGTTTCATGGATGCTGGTGGAGAACATGAAACTCCTGGGTTAAAGACAGGGGACTTTATTACTCATGGCACAGCAAGTGGAGAGATGTTTGTATTGGGGGGCGAGTTCCCAAGCCCCCAACCCTGAGCTCCGTGAGGCAGCACAAAGGGTATCAGGTGGATCCTGCACACCTAATGAGTTTATCTCATAACCAGGAAACACTGAGCAGAGGATTCATTGCTTTTACAGCAATGGAAGCAAGCTCATTCTTTGTCTGGGGGAAGAGGTTCCTCATTCTTCAAGGTAGCTTGCTACACACACAAGCGTGAGATGTGGCCTGGGCAGAGAGCAGTCTGGGCCTTGCACTGTCCGCACTCTCAGCCGAATGTCCCAGGGCCCAAGGCTTGCGGAGTGCTTCTCTCAGTACCCAGGGATCCTGCTTCATGTGCTATGTCGTCAGTATTGGGTAGGGGACTTGCTATGAAACTACATAATACATAACATATACAATGAAGTCTTATGCAAAAGGAATTCAGTAGCTACCTGAATATATACGATATTCTAGATTTCAAACTTTAAATCATCGCAACATAAAAAAAGCATAAATTAATTTCTTTGCTCAGATTACTCAGTAGGTACCTGATTGCATAAAATTTTACCTTACATGCCTATTTAAAACTTGAAGAAAGAACTGGAATCTCAGAAAATATATTTTGTAAAATCAATGTCCTACTTTTTTTTTACCAGAATCCATAATCTCACACACACACCTTTTATTTATGTTTTTAAAGCTGTATATTTATTAAAGAAGATGAAACTGCTCTCTTATGTGGAATCAGGAAAATTTGATCTTTTGAGACTGATAATCTCAGAATATAGAAAGAGGTTGGAAATAATTAAAGCAAATGTATTGAACTAATTCTTTTTCCTTGAGAACCTTAGGTATTAGCTTGATGGTGCTTTTGAAGGAAACCAAATAAAAAAAACTAGTACCCCCGATATGAAATCAAGAAGTCATTCTTTGTAAACAAGGAGTTTCTCGAAGAAAGGCAGATAATGAGCTTGTAAAAACTGACTCTTCAGTTTCTCCCAGTTTACCTAAACACATGTTTATGTGTGTGTAAGTGTGTCTATACAAATGACATGTATTAAGACTGACTAGCTGCGATCACATAAAAATTTTCTCTAAGTTGTTTTTGTTTGACTCTAAATATTTACATAATCAGATTCCAGGCATAAGAGTTGACTAATTTTAAGTCTTCTATGATTAAAACACAGAAAAAAACAAAGATTTGGTAGACTCAACCACTGATGATAAAAGTTTATTAGAATTAATTTGTGTGACACTAGGAGATTTTATTGAAATTCTATCCTAAAGGCCATGACACAGGGTTATTTCAAAGTTAAATTACTACCCACTCACCCACATCCCCCAAAGATGCTTCCGTACATAGTTAAGTTATTCTCTGGAACTCAGTGCTAACTCTTTGGAGTGTCTCCCAAATAAAGCTGAGCTTTTTCCTTTTGGCTACTTCTAAAATGAATCCAGTTTGTTCCTTTCTAGAAGCAATGGCTTTAATTAGAAGAAATTGTGCTTTTCCAAACTAAACAGAATCCAGTGCTATTTTTCCATAGTCAGATTTTCTCACAAGTCACAATTCAATAGCAAACAATTGACATCAAAAATTCTGTCAGACAACCAAGTGATTGTTTCGATGACACCAAACAACTGGTTTGACTGGATTTTTTTACTAAACACACTAACCTAACTGGTTGTTATGAAAACATAGCTTTAGACCTGAGGATTTTATTTTTATTAATTTAAAGAAAACATGTATATATGTGAACGTAATTATTCCTTAGTATCAGGATGTTCATTTTTTTTATTCTTATTACATTTCTTAATAGTGGAATCTCTTGAAAACACAGCACCACAAAGATACAAGAGTCCTTGGTAATCATTTAATGGCTACTGACACACGCGTCCTCTGAAAAAGCCTCTGCCTGGACACCACCGCCTGTGAGGAGGCCGCTGCTCTGCTGGGCAGCCCTAACTGTTAGGGGGTTCTTGCCTAGACTCAGGGAGGCTCTACGTTTAGTAACTTCTACCCTCTGGAATATTCACACTAGCAGCATCCATTATCATATAACACTCCTTCCTTCAGTTGTTCAAGTTTCCGCTGGAAAAAAGGGGGAAGGGGAAGTTGGAATTTTTGTTGCTCCTTTGCTGCAAGTGACTGTTTATCTCATTTTCAGAATTTCTTCAAGGTTTTGCCTCACCAGCAGACATCCATAAGGAAAACAAGGATATGAACATTTCTTGGTCTTCCCCCTTTCTTTCTTGTAGGTGCTCCTAACAGGAACAATTCAGTGGCACAGTGTCGTGCAACCACCACCTCTACCTTGCTCCAAAACATTTTCACCATCCCCAAAGTAATCAATCTATTATCTATGTCCAGTTTTCGTAATAGCTATCTTCTCTGGTCCTCTTACTTTAGAACCACTTAAAAGTCTAAAAGTCTCTTTAAAAAAAAAAAAAAAAGGTGGGGGGGAGGATTTTTTCAACACTTTCAAAGGCCAGAAATTTGGGAGATATTTCTGAGCAGCCCTTGCCCACTTGTCTAATTATTTAAACATATTTAATGATTTAAACAAAGTAAAATAGTTACAGCATGAGTGAAGTGCTATGCTTCCATTTTAGGTTTCCCAGAATTTGCAGTTAACTAAGATAACGCATGTCTGTGTCCCCAGCTTGTGAATGTGACCCTGATGGAACCGTTTCGGGTGGCATTTGTGTGAGCCACTCCGATCCTGCGTTGGGGTCTGTGGCCGGCCAGTGCCTGTGTAAGGAGAACGTGGAAGGAGCCAAGTGCGACCGGTGCAAGCCCAACCACTACGGACTGAGCGCCACTGACCCCATGGGCTGTCAGCGTAAGTCAGCAGCAACTGGGCAACCGGCCGGGGTGGTTGAAGGCTTGGGGCTGTCTCCGTCATCTCTAAACTTCGGACACTGTAAATACCCGAGTCCTTCCAGCTTCTCGGTTTTTAAAAGTGATTCAAGCACGCCCACCAAGTTTAGTTTAGTTTTGTTTAGTTCAGGTCTCCGTGGTTTGCTGAGTTTATCACAAGGGACCAGCAGGGGGCGCACACACCTTTTCTGCTGGAACAGGCAGTGGAAAATGCCAAGAAATTTAGTGCCAAGTTGTGAAAATTTAGAAAAGCGCCTTCCACTAGGACTCTCCTATATAGACTGTTAAATCACAGGCATTTCTGTAAAGACTGATGACTTCTTGGGAAATTTTCATGTGTTGGTTTCTTCATATTTTATTTTTTTTAACATTACTTTCTTTTCTTCTCAAACCTCCCTAGTATTTTTATGTTTGTTCTCTGACAAAAAATTAGAGGCAGGTGAGGGGTTGCAAGGAAACAGGAAAAACCTCAGGGTTTCCCAGAGCCAAGTGAAGAAGCCCTTGGCTTTAGGATCACACAAGTTTAGAGTTGCCTAGGATCTCAAGGAGCTGCAGAATCCTCGGGGAATCTAGGTAAATCATTTCCCTCCTGTCACAGCATCATCATACTCTATATTTTGCCCATATAAAGAACTATACATCATTTGCATGCTTACAGAACAGTGTGCTGAATCTTTCTGTAATAATATTTTCTTCTCGAGTTTAATAGCAAAATTAAATTTCAGGAGAATGAGTTATAGAGTCAAGCCAGTCCCATCACACTTTGCAGCACTCCAGAGATTTTCCCTGGTTCACTGACTAACTTAATGCCTTGAGAATAGGCCAAATAGGGGTTTTGGCTTTGTTTTGTTTTTCTTTTGTAACAGCTTTAATGAGGTATAATTCATATACCATGTAATTCACCTTTTAAAGTATACAGTCAATGATTTTTTTTGTATACTCAGAGTTGTGTAACCATCACTTCAATCAATTTTAGAATATTTGTATTATCCCAAAGTGAAACCTTATACCCTACTTCTGGCTATATACCCAAAAGATTGAAAGCACAGTCTAGAAGAGACATTTGTACATTCATGTTCATAGCAGCATCGTTCACAGTGGCCAAAAGGTGGGAGCAACTCAATGCACATCTATGAATGAGTAGATAAGCAAAATGTAGTATCTACGTACAATGGAATATTATTCAGCCTTAGAAAGGAAGGGAATTCTGATGCATGTTATAACATGAATGAACCATGAAAACCTTACACTGAATGAAATAAGCCAGTCACAAAAGACAAATAGTATATAAGTCTACTTATACGGGGTACCTAGAATATCAAATCCATACAAACAGAATGTAGAATGGTGGTTGCCAAGTGCTGAAGAGGAGGGAGAAATGAGGAGAGATGGGGTTTAATGGGAACAGAGTTTCAGTTTTGCAAGATGAAAAGAGTTCAGGAGAATCGTTGCCCAGCAATGTGAGTATACCAACGCTACTGACCTGTATACTTAATGGTGAAGATGGCAAATTTTATGTTAAATGTGTTCTACCATTAAAAAAAAGAAAGAAAGAAACCCCATGCTCCTTATCTACTACTTCCCTATCCTCCCAATCCTCCAGCCCTAGGTAGCACTACTCAACATTCTGTTTCTACAGATTTGCATACTATGACCATTTCATAAATTGGAATCCTGTAATTTGTGGTCTTTTATGGCTGGCTTCTTTCACTTAACATAATGTTTTCAAGGTTCATCCATGTCACAGCATGAATCAGTACTTCATTTCTTTTTTATTACTGAATAATATTCCATTGTATGAATATATCACACTTCATTTATTCATTCATCAGTTGTTGGACATTTGGGCTTTTCTATGAAAAATGATTCCTCCTGCATGGGAAATATACTTCTTGCTTTGGTAGCATGATTTCTTAACCTTCATAATATAAAAAAGATTCAGAAATGTCTATGGGTATAAAAGAAAGAGGAAGAGGAGAACAAAATGAAAACACAACAAGGCAGTAAAAAAAAGAAGTAGTTAGGGAAATGGTAGATGCATGTACTACAGAAGGAGCTGTCAGTGATAACCATGACACTCAGAAACCTTTGCCGCTACTCAAAGACCCAGCCAGCCTCACTGAGACTATCAGTGCTGGGCACTCAGCTTGCATGGCTTCCTCCACTTTTTTGTCTCCTCCTAACCGCCATCTAGTAGGGCTACACGAGGGCTCTGGCAGTGTTTGGCACTGGATTTCCTATGCACAGTTGTGTGCAATACAATAAGCATGCAGCCAGGCAGACAGTAAGATTGGCAGGGCTGGATGTTCTGTGTTCCTGTGGCCACGTGTTTCATTCAGTGTGAGCTTTAGGAACATTTACAAACAGGGTGAAATAGAAATAAATGATTGCGTTTATAAATGGTTGTGTGTGCTGTGCTTTCAGCCTGTACCTGTAACCCCCTGGGGAGTCTGGCACTCTCGCCCTGTGATGTAGACACAGGCCAGTGCCTGTGCCAGCCTTTTGCCACCGGACCACACTGTGAGGAGTGCGCTGTACGTATTTGTCTACAATTTCCCTTGCAAGTAGTGATGCAGATTTCTACTGCCATTGCCTAAGAGAGACTTGGTCTCGCTCATTGTTTTCCTTGCCCTATTGTGTTTGAATTCTCTTGTGCTAATACTATTTATACTACAGAAATCAGCAAACACTAGAAATCAGCTCCCACCCTCCTGCAAAGAGCTGGGAGTTAAACATTTACCAGCACACCAACATTTACCAGATTTGACTGAATTGACGCAGGTACCCATGCCAATATTTTGTTGTTTTGTTTTTGATTCACTTTATGTGTTTTGCTTTATTGTACTTCAAAGATGTTCCTGGATTATTTTTTATTTTCCCTCACCTGAAGATATGTTTTTATTGCTTCTAGAGAAAGAGGAAGGGAAAAAGAGAGAGAAACATCAATGTGAGAGAAACATCAGTTGGCTGCCTCCTGTACATGCCCCAACTGAGAGTCAAACCTGCCATCCTTTGGTGTACGGGTCGATGCTCCAACCAAATGAGCCACCCAGCCAGGGCAGATGTTCCTGGTTTTATAAATTTTATTTTTAATTATACTTGACATACAATATTACACTAGTTTCCAGTATATAAAACAGTGATTAGACATTTATACTCTTTACAAGATGATCACCACAATTACTACAGCATAAGGAATATAGCTCCTGTCAATAGTTTTATCCTTTGTCCACCTAAAAGTGCCAAGCACTAGAATATGAGAGCGTTCACCTCCCCCTCCCTTCGGCCTCCTAGACCGTGGGCCTCTTCTGTCCTCTGCCCTCAGCCCACTCCTACCACGCCTTGCCTAAAAATATTTTGGACAGGGTCATTTAAAAAAATGGATTTAAATGTTTTTAAAAACATCTTAAAAACATTTTTAAAACATTTACTCCTGTGAGAAATAAACTCTTAAATTTTTCACAGGCTTCACTAAACACATATGAGTATGGTATGTCTTAAATTAGTCAAATAAAACATTTTTACTCCATAAGAAATGTGTTATGCAACAGGGAGTTCAAACCCAACTCTTTTCTTTGTTCTCCAGTCTTGGCAGCCCATCATGACATTTTAGAAAGGGAAAAAAAAAAACTGAACCTAATAAAAGAACAGTGACCTTGATGTGTCTGAAGAAATGTAGCTGATAAATATGAAACATATGTCTATGAGGACATAGTTTTGTGCTAATATTTTCAGTAATTTTACTGAAAACATATGAGGGTGGAGCAGAGGAGATGGGAAAGAAAGCATGGAAGCAAGTGTGAAGAAGGCACTCAGTGTGAGACAGGGCGAGTCATCTCAAAGTTTCACTTAGCGAGGCGAGCCACTCCACGCTTGGTGACCATGCGTGGGCAATGCAAAGAAGCATGCAGAGCTGTTTAGCAGGAGCCGTGAAGGCACTGCAGCAGATCATTCCAATAAACCTTAGATTCAGGCTGCCTTTTTGGTTGGCAGGTTAACTGCCAGTTTGCAGTTAACTCACTTGTGTTTGCAGGAGGAAAATAACAGAGCAAGGGCCACCCCAGGGGCATCTGCCATTGTCAGGGAGCCCACACATCTGCCAGGCACCCTGCATCCACATCTGTCCGATGGTGCACTGGACCCGCGCTGAGGCGGCCCGCATGGCAGTGCACCCTGCCCAGGGGGAGTTTTCCCATCCACATCCCCATGGAAGCGGTTCATTTCACATTGTTTCTGCCTAAACTGAAACTTGGTTTTGGGAAAAATATCAGAAGTCCTTTGCTGCATTTTGTAACAAATTAGGTCAACTTTTAATGTTTAAAATAAATCTTCTTGAGTAAAATTGGACATAAAATTTTACCAAGATTTAAAAAAAGTATGGTTATTTAATGAACCCACTTCAAACATTAGTTCCATGCCTAGTATGAGCTTAATTTTATCTGAGCACATTCAACTGAGACTTGAGAGGAAAATATTTTCCTGATCATTTTATAAAAAATCTTATCAGATGTAAGAAATAGTTGTTTATATCTCACCAGTTGTTTATACTGAATAAAGGTCAAGATGTTGCAATGATGAAAAGTCTTAAGCAACAGAGCTGACTCTCAGGGAAAGAGATTATTATGACAAAACTTTATTTACAAACAAGTGATTCTACTAAACTGTGATATTCATATCAGCACTCAAAATCAGCTTGACTGATTTTTTTTTTTACCCCCAAATGTTTCAGTATTGTATAAGTAAAAATCCCTAGGGTTTTTACAGTAAAGAAATCTATTGGTTCTATAAAAGCAGTGGCAAATTGGGTAGTTAAAGAACCTCTCTTGACTGGCCTTAAGCAACACAGCTTGAGGCTACATTGGTCCTGCCAGAGGGGCCGTGTGGTTTCCATTGCATCTCCACTTGAACAATCCACAGACAGCTTGCCTGTCCCCTTTATTGCAAGTCCTTGGAACAGGAGCTATGTGTCTGAAAATCATTACCAAGTGCACAGGCAAAAAAAGCTACTGTGTGATTTTTCAGGCTGTGTGCTCATTTGATAGATGTCAATTGAACAGTAGTGCTTTCAGCATGATACGCCAGAGCAGCAATTATCTTCATACCTGAGTCAACGGAGCATTTTCTCTCTGTAGGTTGGATATTGGGGACTGGAAAACCATCTCCATGGATGTGCTCCCTGTGACTGTGATATTGGAGGTGCTTATTCTAATGTGTAAGTCAGTAAAATGAATAAAACAAAGTTTTGTGACAATATTCCTCCTTTACATGTCCACATAAGAGCACATTTTATTCTGACAAGCTCATAGTCACAAGTGAAGGAATTTATTTCATGACAAGCAAAAAACATCAAAAAGCAATGATCTCAAGACATTAATCAGAGCACAGTTGATTTATTTTACTTGAAATATTTTCCAGCATGAGATGACAATTCTGCTGTCCTGGGTCTCCCATGAGATGATGGGATAGATGCCTGCAAACATGTGACCTGACCTGACCTGCCTAAAACACTAACTCTTCGCCACCCTGTAAAGAAAGATCCTACCCTCTTCTTTTCCTGGTTTTTAGAGCAGAATCAGAGTCACTGAGGAAAGATGTGACTACTTGGTTTCAAGGATCTGGATTTGCTTTCCAAGACCAACCTTCTAGAGCCCACAGCTCCTCATTATCCTCCCTAGGACAGTTGATTGATCAATTCGAAGAAAGGATCCGAACTTGGGGAGCAGTTAGCTCAGCACTCCCATGCCTTTATTTTGCACTTGCCCCCTCAACATTTTTTTTCAGATGGATTCGTTTTTCCTCAGGTGTTCTCCCAAGGATGGGCAGTGTGAATGCCGCCCGCATGTCACGGGCCGCCGCTGCTCGGAACCGGCCCCCGGCTACTTCTTTGTTTCTTTGAACTTCTACGTCTATGAGGCCGAGGAAGCCATGCCGCTCCAAGGACTTGCCCCTTTGGTTCGTATTTCACTTAACTCTCCTTTCGGACTTCATTTGATGGAATGTCAATAAATATATGCCACCCACCCTTGAAATCACGGCTAAGGTACCTGGAAAAGATGGTTTTACCCACAAACACAGATCAGAGTAGAGTTTATTCTGTCATGGAAGTGCAGATTATATAGATTCTTGAGGGCAGAGTCTGCGTTTTGTTGATCTTTGTATCCCAGTTCTAGCCCAGAGCCTGGGCATAAATGTGAATTGGATTAAGTTGTGGTAAAACCGACTTAACTTTCGCTCTTTCAATGCACCCACCAGATAGAGTGTGTTTACTGAGCCTCTACTTGTCTGTCTCCCCCATGACATTATAACCATTAGAGGGAAGGGAGGATGTGTGCCCCATTCACCACTGTTGCTCTAGTGCCTTTCACGCAGGGGGAACTTGATAGATGTCTGCTAATGAATAAATGAATGATTGAATGAATGAATGAGGTACAGGAAAGCAGTGTAAATGTGCTCTCTGGCCTCTTACGGCTACTCTGGGATTAGCAGTTGTCACTGAAGTCAGTGATTTTCACAGGAGTGTGTGACTGCAAGTGACACTTGGTGCTCTACTTCATTTCCTACCAGCCACACTCCTGTGGGATATGTCAATGAAGGAAACATCCAAACCTGTAAGAAGTTTAGGAGTTTATTTGAGCCAAACTGACAACAGTTGCCAGCGAACAAAATCTCACCAGACTGAGAAAATGCTCAAGAAAAATGGGAGTTTTACCACTTATTTTATACATCAGAATCAAAGGGGAGGATGTAAGGGGGTTACATGAAATCCACTGATAGATTAAGGAGATGGGAGAAAGCAAAGCAGGAAAATCTCTGAGATTGGATAAAAAGTAAAAGGAATAGACATTTCTTTTACATAGGTGGGTAGAGGATAGTTAACAGTTAACAATTAACATGATAACAATAACAATGAGCGTTTTGTGGTCTCTTCTCTGGCACAGTTGAGGGGTGGGGAAATTACCCAACATTCCAAAGGTAAGTTATCATAGATGCGAAAAGAAAATAGACAGACTCAGTTAGGGTAAAGACTGACCTTTGTCAGGGAAGATACTGACCTAGGACATGACTACCTGCCATGACCTACTTTTAGTTAGGAAGTTTTAATTTCAGACCATCTTGTGTGGTTACTTTCTGTCTCTGAGTTTATAAGGCTACTATGAAGGCCTCCCCTGAACTTGTCAGGCTTAGAATGTGGCCCCTTTTTCATCCATAGATATTTTCCCCCAAACAATTTTTCTTTAAGTTTTGCTATAGGCACAGACACACACATGTAAAGTGATTATTAGAGAAAATACAAATTAGACTCCCATAACATTCTCAAGCATGTGACTCTGGCCATAGACAGGATATACGACGAAGGGAAAGGTAATGTGAGGTGTAATCCTTTGAGGAGAGAAAGCATGTGAAAGTCGATTCTGAGGATAGAATTTGGAAAGAAAAATGGGAACGCGTTCCATCTTCCAGTGACTAAATCTTTTCCTGATGTCTCTTCCTTTTTCTTCTTTTTTCTATGATGCACTTTGTTTCCATTCCAATTTTATTAGTTTATTTTTAAGTTTTTACTTATTTATTGTTAGAGAAGGGAAAGGAGGGAGAGAGGGAGAGAAACATCAATGTGTGGTTGCATCTGGTGTGCCCCTGGCTGGGGACCTGGCCCACAACCCAGGCATGTGCCCTACCTACCCTAGGAATCAAACCAGCAACACTTTGGTTCCCAAACTGGCACTCAGTCCACTGAGCCACACCAGCCAGGACTGATGTCTCTTCCTTATCTGATCAATGATAGAAATTCAAAGAGATAAAAGTGCATAAGGGGTAAAAAATGCTACCACAAGCCTTGGAATTTGCTGTTTTAGTGACTGGAGTTGGAGCGGCAGGAGGCTTACCACTGTAGGGGATATAGAATCAAAGGGAAACAATTCTATGTCTGCGTTCTTCCTCATGGTTTTTAACATTGCATCTTTATAACAGTAATGAAAAAAACTTTTGGAAAGGAATGTTGGTATTTATATGTAGGTGATATCTATTATGGATTAATAGCGAAATAAAGTTGTCTTGGCTCCTGATGCAGAGCACCTAACTTCTTCGTAATTCCTTAGTGGTAAGAGCACTTAGGAACCTTTTTTGTTCTAATATTGGGTTGACCTGGCTCTAGATGCAGAGCTCCTGAATCCTTAGGAATTTCCTGAGCAATAGAAGGAGGTAAGATTGTCCTTTGTTCTAGTGAGGCAACTCTTGATGGGCTTCTGGGTAGCTTCAGGATAGGAACTGGTCACCAGAAAAACCAAGCCATTATTAGAAGCTTGAAACTTTCAGCCCCATCTCCCATTCTCCAGGAGGGGGAGAGGGCAGGTTGTTGAGTTAATACCTGAGTAATGAAGCATCCATAAAAATCCCAGGAGTACTGGATTCAGAGAGCTTCCACATTGATGACCACATCCATGTCCCAGGAGCATGGTGCACCCCAACTGCAAGGGGACAGAAGCTCCCGTGCCTGGGGCCCTTCCAGGCCTCACCCTGCATATCTCTTCATCTGACTGTGTATCTGTATATTTTATCCTACCCTTTATTAATAATAAACCATCAAATATAAGTATTTCCCTGACTTTTGTGAGCTATCCTAGCAAATTGTTAAGCCCAAAGAAGGGGTCACAGGAACCCCCTTTGTAGCCAGTAGGTCAGAAATACAGGTATCAACCTCTACTTGTGATTGGCATCTGAAGAGGAGAGGCAGTCTTACGGACCTGAGCTCTTAACCTGTGGGATCTCATGCTAACTCCAGGTAGATAGTGTCAGAACTGAATTAAATTGTAGGACAGCCAGCTGGTGTCAAAGGCTTGATGAGTATGGGAATAAACCACACATCTAGCATCAGGAGTGGTGTGAGTGTGGTAATACTGTGAGAGTAGAGAAACAAGAGTGTTTGTCTTATACAACTATAAATACAATAGTTTCCATTTTGGGAGTAAGAATACACAAAACAAACATGATTATCTAAAATAGATGGAATGTTACTTAACATTTTTCAGTATGCACCATATGCTGACAAGCAGTTAAATAGGGTAATATCACATATGCAAATACAGCTCCAAACTGTGAACAGAATGACTCATGTGACTCCTTACTCATCTCTCCATCGCTTAAAGAAAAATAGCAAGGATACAGAATGGGTTTAAAAAGCAAGGAAAATTACCTGAAGGATTGGAAAATAATATATATGACAAAGGGAAGGAAATTAAAGATGGGATGGATGTTAACTGTTTAAAGGTTAATAAGTTAGACACAATTTAATTATTTGAACATTCATTTAACAAATAGGTATTATGTGCTGCAATATAAATAAAACTTCCATTGATTTAATGCTCTGTGCTTTGCACCTTATATACATTATCTTACTTAACTTTCCAGACAACTTACCTATTATCATCTGTAATTTCCAGATAAGGGAAAACATTAGAGAGGTTAAGTAACTTGCCCAACGTCAGACAGCTGGTGGACAGTGGAGTCAGGACTGAAACCCAAGTGTGTCTGCTTTCAAAAGTTGCTCTCAGCCATCAGTATGTTACCCATCCACGTGCATAATGCTGAGCTTCAAGCTAAGGTTTGCATAGAAAGGGACTAGTTAGGGTCCTGCCATTCTGGAGTTCCTAACTACAGCTACTACACTTACATATATAGATAGTACAAGACGGGGGCAGTGCCATATGAAGAGAAGAGTCAATAAGTGCATTAGGATTTCAGCCATGGGTGATTCTTGATGAACAGGCTTAACACAGAGATAGAATAATTAACCTGAGACTTGTAAACAATAAATTTCAATTAGTACACTAGGTGAGAAGATAGTCCAGCCAGGAAAAGTTGCAAGTAATGATTCAGAGAAAAAAACAATGCAGTTGTATTCACAGGTGTAACTGGAAATTTTTATAAGGAAGAAGTATTGGAAAGGAACATTAGATTCTCCTATTAAAGAGGCTAAATTTTATTCTCTGGACAAATGAGAACTCACTGAAACTTTCTAAGCAAGGGAATGACATTATGAAGACTATCCTCAGTGTTCTTTTTTTTTAAAAGTGTACAGAGATTTCATTCTTATTTTTTAAATTATTTTTTATTGATTATGCTATTACAGTTGTCCCGATTTTCCCCCTTTGTCTACCTCCACACAGTGCCCCAACTCCCTCAGGAAATCCCCACACCATTGTTCATGTTCATGGGTCATACATATAAGCTCTTTGGCTGCTCCATTTCCTATACTGTACTTTACATCCCCATAGCTATTCTGTAACTACCTATTTGTACTTCATAATATCCCTCACTTCTTCACCCATTCCACTAAGCCCCTCTCCCATCTGGCAACCATCAAAATGCTGTCTGTATCCATAGTTCTGTCTCTGTTTTCAAGTTTGCTTAGTTTGTTATTCAGATTCAATTGTTGATAGATATGTATTTATTGCCATTTTATTGTTCATACTTTTCATCTTCTTCTTCTTAAATAAGTCCCTTTAACATTTCATTAATAATGGTTTGGTGATGATGAGCTCCTTTAGTTTTTCCATGTCTTGGAAGCTCTGTATCTGCCCTTCAATTCTAAATTATATCTTTGCATCGCTTCTTGGCCTTTTGGCTAAGATTAAGTGTAGTATCTGTTCTTATCAGTTTAATTATATCCTTGCTAGGTAGAAAAATCTTGACTATAGGTTCCTGCTTTTCATGACTTTGAATATTTCTTGCCAATCCCTTCTAGCCTGCAGTTTCTTTTCAGAAATCAGCTGACGGTCTTACGGGAACTCCTGTGTAGGAAACTAACTGCTTTTCTCTTGCTTCTTTTAAGATTCTCTCTTTGTCTTTAAACTTTAGCATTTTAATTATGATGTGTCTTGGAGTGGGCCTCTTTGCATCCATCATAATTGGGACTCTCTGTGTTTCCTAGGCTTGTATGTCTATTTCCTTCACCA